GCAATCAAGGGGTTAATTGTGTGCCTAAAATGTGTTTTGTGTGTAATGTGTGCTGATTTTACTCACAAACAGAAATGGCCAGATCTCTCTTCTGTTTGCTCAGAGTTCTGTATGTTTTAATAAACACAGAACTCTGTGCTGTGATTGGACAGAGTCGATCAGCAGGTTTTAGATTAAATCATTAGCTGAAACCTGCTGACAAACACATGCTGTATCCCATCACAGCATGGGTCAGCAGGGGCGTGCATGCCCGAAACTCGAAAGCCAGGCGGCAACATATGAGTAAGTTACCTAGCCTGGCTGTGCCGCCCATCCACAGTATATGTACTGTGGGCATACGGCAAGGAGTTAACTTAAACAAATCTTATTTTAAAAGTTGTTTGCCATGATAGTTTAACATAAAAGAGTTGGTTTCACTTGTGCTTACAATATGAGTTTAGTTATTTAACCGCTTCCTGACCATGCTATTCCCGAATGACGGCTACAACGCGGTCATCTGGTTCTGGAAAGGCATCATATTACATCCTCCCAGAATGCACCTCCCTCACACCCCGAGCGGCGTGCACCCGGCGCTTTCTGTGATCGTTGTGTCCTTTGGACATAGCTAATCACATGACATGGTAAAAGGCCAATCACAGCGGCCTTTTACCATGTGATCAGCTGTGTTGAATCACAGCTGATCACCATGTAAATACACTTGCTGGTTATTGGCAGTATTTTCCTCACGCTGTCACAGCGTGAGGAAAGTACTGCCAATAATTGGCAACCGTGAAAGCAGACATCTACACCTGATTATCAGTGTAGCCCCAAAAGTGCCCATCTGTGCTGCCTATCAGTGCCCATCAGCGCTGCCAATCTGTACTCGTCAGTACTGCCAGTCAGTGCCCTTCAGTGCTATCTATTAGTGCCCACCATTGCCGCATATCAGTGCCCATCAGTATCGCATATCAGTGCCTCCTCATCAATGCCCACCAAAGCAGCCTCATCAGTGCTGCCTATCAGTGCTGCCTATCATTGCTCATCAGTGCTGCCTATCAGTGCCTATCAGTGCAGCCTTATCAATGCACATCAGTGAAGGAGAAAAATTACCTGTTTGCTAAATTTTAAAATAGAAACAAGGAAAAATGTTCTTTTTTTCTAAATTTTTGTTCTTTTTTCATTTATAGTGCAAAAAAATAAACAAAACCAGTGGTGATTGGATACCATCAAAAGAAAGCTCTACTTGTCATATGGGTACAGTATTGCTTGACCGCACAATTATCATTCAAAGTGCAACAGCACTGAAAGCTGAAAATTAGCATGGGCAGGAAGGGGGTGAAAGTTCCCATTAGGTAATATTAACATCATTAATAAAGATGTTTACTGTGGTAGTTTTAACAAAGTTGGTTTCTCTTATATTTACAATAGGAGTTCAGTTCAGCTAGCATTGAAGGAAGCCCTTTTTCAGCATACCACAATACTCCACAGAGCTAAGGTATAAGATATGGAGCTGACAACAGTGTTAGTTGGGATCCAGCTCAAATTTTTTGATCAAGGCAAGCAGCTTAGAAAATGATTGGTTTACGTATATAGGAATGCTATGGTTAACAGTAGCCATTATGGTCTTGTTTTTCTACAATTATTTTTATAGATAGCCATGTGCAAGTAGATTAATATGCCAGCCAGATTAGATGTATAAATACATGTATATACTGTTCATATACTGTATATTTGTTATAAATGCACAATGAGACTGTAACAGTGCATTAAAACTAACTATAATTTTGTTTCTTTTTCTCTTTCCATATCTTTTTAATCCTGTCGTCTTGAAGGAAGTGGAGGTTAGTACTAATTTTCAATACATTTCTTGTGTTTTATTTATCCTATAATTTATAGGCATAGTTTTTTTTTTCAGTGTCACACTTTTTACATTATACTCAAAGAATGGTCAATTGAATAGTTTCCTATGGTCAACACCATAGGATAATCTGTAGGGTATTCCTCTAAGCAAAGCTGGGTTTTCCATTTAGAAAATGCACTTGTATCACCGTAGTCTCGGTCAGTTGTTAAATCCACATAATTTCTCTCATATATTGTTAAATCCACATAGTTTCTCTCATATTTTGTTAAATCCACATAGTTTCTCTGTGCTTATCTTGTAAATGTAAAGCATTCACATGCACACTGTATATTTAGTTGCATAGTTTCATAGCTAGTGAGGTTGAAAAAGATACTAGTCCATCTAGTTCACGTGTTTCAAACTGGCAGCCCTCCAGTTGTTGCCAAACTACAAGTCCCATGAGGCCTTGCAACATTGACAGTTACAAGCATGACTCCCAAAGACAGAAGTATGATGGGACTTGTAGTTTCAAAACAGCTGGAGGGCCACAAGTTTGACACCCCTGATCTAGTTCAGCCAAGAAAAATATATTAAAAAACCCCATATACACAATCATATACTGACAGTTGATCCAGAGGAAGGCAAAAAAAACAATAAAGCATGATCCAGTTTGCTCCAGTTGGGGGAACAAATTCCTTCTTGATCCTCCAGGAGGCTATCAGATTTTCCCTGGATCAACTTCCCCTTGTGTTATTACCACTAAATATTAATATTTAGGTATATTATGTGTATTTAGGAATGCATCCAGGCCTTTTTCTCATAAATTGTTACATCCACTTAGTTTCTCATTAAAACAATCTACTGAGCTGGCCAGAATCAGCTCTTGAGCCTGGGTTCACACTGATGCGGTGCGGAATTTGCAGCGGTTTCTGTGCGAATTCCACACCACATCATAATCGCACCCCATTCATGTAAACTGCTGCGGGTGTGTATGTTGAGTTAACAACACCCTGAAATGAGTCTGAAAAATGCGGTGCGAAGTGTAGGATTGGATGTGAATACCCATGCGACCTGATTCTAGTGCAGACCAAAAAAATGGTCCTGCACCTTTTTGGTGCATATGCGGTGTGATTTGAGCCATACAAAATGTATTGCACAAATCACACCACACAGAATTTGCATGTGATTTGTACAGGAATGCGGTGCGGTTTCTGTTCGAATCACATGTGATATGCCTCACCGCACAAGTGTGAACCCAGGCTGAGGGAGTCTATTCCTCAATTAAACAGCTCTTACTGTGAAGACGTATCTCTGTATGTTAAGGTTAAATTTCTTTTCCTCCAGAAGTAAAGAGTGCCCCCTTCTCCTCTGAAATCACCTGAAAAACTCTGCAATTAAAAACCAATGCATTATTGTTTGTAGATCCACTTTGCTGTATGTAGGCAATAGGTCTGCCTTACTTTACTTACCAAGGCTGACATTTTTAATTTACAGAAAATCTAATGTACTAATAGGATCAACTTCAGCAAAAGTATTGATCTTCAATATATGTCTAATGTCCAGATAGATTTAGGGTCATGGGCAGATGCATCTGAATCACTGAAACACTGATTAATCTGTCTGTTTTTCAATGAAACATGGGCTATCTGTAAAAAGCAGGAAAAGATGGAAAAGCACATTCAGTTTGTAGGATAGTCATTATTATAAAATTGTTATAAAATGAAGTTTGACATTTGTGACCATACATGGGAAATATTATATTGATCAATATGTACAAACCTGAATTTCCTTGTCTTCTGTGATAAAAGATTATACTGACAGATCATCATTCATGATAATTCATGCTAGTTTTCTGACAGCTCCTGGAAAGCACTGTTGGAATACTAACTGCAAAAGAGAGTGCGGAGCTGTCCGTTCAGCACCATATGTAGTCTTGTGTGTCAATATTGGAAATACATTTGCCAGCAATTTCTTCAACAGTGGTCCTCAAGCAATGTCTTCACTCATATGTGGGCTTTGAATGACATAGAGAAAAAACACAAAATAGTCATCTGACACTATTTCACGCAGTAATGGGCAGGGAACATCCTTTGTGACATTGAATGTTGTGTGTTATTGAATGTTGTTTATTTCCACTTCTCAAAAAGAAACCTACTATAAATGTATTAGATGGTCATTTTTTATTTTACAAATAAATATAATTGAGTACTGTCCGTGATACTTGTTCTATTAGCACAAACATCCAACTTTTCATGAAAAGCTTTCGGGGGGAGGGGTCCCAAGTCGTACTAATAAACAAAGTTTTAGCAGAATGTTAAAATAAGATACTCTCTGAGGGAAAAAAAGAAAAAAGAAAAACAAATGAACACATCAATGTTAATTAAACTAGGATAGTTAGTGAGATAACAGAGAGAGAGCTATAGACTGGAGGAGGCGTAACATTCATAGAGGGGGGTCTTAAAACTGTTGGATAATGATTAAGAAAATCAAGGTCTACAGTTAGTCCATTATTTTTCTTTCAAATAGAATTATCATTCTTTAAAAGTTTTCCTTTCCTTTGTAGTTTTGAAATTCCCTTTAACCACCTCCCGCCCACCATATAGTAATATGACGGGCTCAAGGTGGTTCTCTCGTTCTGATAGGACGTCATATGACGTCCTCCCATTCTCACTGCGCATGCGCGGCTCAGGGAGCGTGCAGCGCGGTGATCGGCGGTGCTCTGTGTCCCTCAGACACAGCGGATCACCGATCACGGAAAGAGCCGAAGATGTCGGCTCGGTCATGTGATCAGCTGTGTCCAATCACAGCTGATCACATGTAAACAGGGAAATGCCGGTTATCGGCATTTCTCTCCTCTCGAGCTGTCACGCTGACAGCTCGAGAGGAGAGGAGAGCCGGTAATCGGCTTTTCGCGGAGGGGACATGTACACTGATCATCAGGGCACTGATGATCAGTGTACCCTGATGATCAGTGTAGCCCCAGCAGTGCCACCTGTCAGTGCCCATCAGTGCCTTATGTCAGTGCTCACCAGTGCCCCGTGCCAGTGCCCATCAGTGCCACATCAGTGCCACATATCAGTGCCTATCAATGCCACATATCAGTACCCATCTGAGCTGCCTTTCAGTGTCACCCATCAGTGCCAGTCAGTGCCACCTATCAATGCCAATCAGTGCCAACCAGTGCTGCCAACCAGTGACACCTATCAGTGCCAGTCAGTGCCGTCTATCAGTGCCAGTCAGTGCTGCCTATCAGTGCCGCCTATCAGTACCTGTCAGTGCCCGGCTATTAGTTTCAGTCAGTGCCGCCTATCTGTGCTGTGTATCAGTGCCATATATCAGTGCCATGTATCAGTGCTGCCTTTCAGTGCCCATCAGTGATGCCTGTCAATGCCCATCAGTGCCACCTACCAGTGCCTCCTCATCAGTGCCCAACAGTGCCACCAAACAGTGTCCATCAGTGCAGCCTATCAGTGCCCATCACTGCAGCCTCATTAGAGCACACCAGTGAAGGAGAAAAATCACTTATTTACAAAATTTTATAACAAAAACTAAGAAAAATTTTTTTTTTAAATTTTTAGTGGTTTTTTTTTTTTGTTTAAGAAAAAATAAAAAACCCAGAGGTGATTAAATACCAGCAAAATAAGGCTTTATCTGTCACAAAAAAATGATAAAAATGTCATATGGGTACAGTGTTGCATGACCGCACAATTGTCATTCAAAGTGCCACAGCGCTGAAAGCTGGAAATTGGCCTGGGCAGGAAGGGGGTATGTAGGCCCTGTAGGCTAGTGGTTAACCACTTGCCCTCCAGAGGATTTACCCCCCTTCCTGACCAGGCCATTTTTTGCGATACGGCACTGCGTTACTTTGAAAATTGCGCGGACATGCAATGCTGCACCCAAATGAAATTTATGGGTTTTTTTTCCCCACAAACGGAGCCTTCTTTTGGTGGTATTTGATTGCCTCTGTGTTTTTTATTATTTGCACTATAAACAAAAAAACCCAACAATTTTGAAAAAAAAAACTATATTTTTGACTTTTTGCTATAAAACATATTCAGTAAAAAATTTTTAAAAGTCAAATTTCATCATAATTTTAGGCCAAAATTTATTCTGCGATATACTTTTCCTAAAACAAATCCCAATATGTGTAAATTAATTGCTTTAAGTAAAAGTTATAGTGTCTACAAGTGGTGGTATAGATACTGGAATTTTTTTTTTTAGTAGTAATATAAATCAGCGACTTAGAGCAGGACTACGGGACTGTGGCGGGCATTCTGACACTGGGGGGAACTGATTTGGTGTCACTGACATCCCCAGTGACACCTATGCAGTGATCAGTGCTAATTAAAAGCACTGGGCAGGAAGGGGTTAACATGCTGTATGTGGTTTACAACGTAGGCTGTCTGTGATTAACTCTGCTATGCAGAGCCATACAAAGCAGTGTGCAGGAGCTGACAGGGGAGAGATCTGTCGGAGATACTCGGCGATCACCGGGTGCTGGCGAGTAATCACCGGTGATTGACAGCCGATGCCGCGAATTGCAGGCGCAGGTAGGGCGCGTACGCGGCTTGCACGTGTCCCCTACTCGGAACTGCAGAATCACATATATACGTGATTTTACGCACCCATGCCACCCTGTAGCAGTATTTCTGCTATGGGGTGGAGGGGGAAATGGTTAATTACCATTGCTATGTATGTTTGTTTGTGGTTTGTGTTTTTATTCTCCTCAGAGATTGTCTTAGGCTGGCCATATATTATACAATTCTATTGTACAATTTCCTTTAGATTTGTCAAAACCATATAATATGAAGTCAAACCTAAACATTTTCAATTTGTATGCAAACAGGCAGGCCCTTAAACTACATCCTGTAATTGAAGGTAAATCTAAATGAAACAAGAAAATTGAATAATGTATGTCAAGCTTTACTTTAACCTTCTGCTAAAACTTTGTGTATTAGTACTGCTTGGGACACCCCCCCCCCCCCAAAATAAAAGTATCACGGGCAGTACTCAGTTGTTCTTGTTGCAAGAACACTAATACAGCCACTAAACAGTGAATGCAGATTTTAGTTTTGAGTGTAAACTTTAGCTTTAAGCCAGCCATAGGCTATGCAATTTTCTTTTGCAGGAGCTATTGTGTTTTCTTGGTGGGTGAGGGGGGACATGTGGGGGTAGTCGTCCCTGCTGGGAGAACACAGTGATTTTTGCTAGCGACTATAGGCGCTGGCAATAAACGTATGAAAAATCCAACATGCTGGTTGTAACAACAATCAAATTGGGTAAAATCAGCCTGTGTGTAGATGACTTGAATCTTGATTGGTCCTTGCTGAACCAGCCAAGATTCAAACCATTCATAGCCGGCATTAGCTATTGCACTTAGCAAAGCAGCTAAGGATAGCCTGGTAAATATGTATTATATGTAAGCCTAGAGCTCCATGTGCAGGCTGAACATGTAAACATGAAATTATTATTATTATACAGGATATACTGTATATAGCGCCAATAGTTTGCACAGCACTTTACAAAATTAAATATTAATTGTTTGTTAAAAAGCATGAAATACCTATTTAAATATTTCATATTAACTGATGGAAATTGATGGAAAAACATTAAAATGTACAGTGAAGGAAATAAGTATTTGATCCCCTGCTGATTTTGAATGTTTGCCCACTCACAAAGAAATGATCAGTCTAAAAAATGAATGGTAGGTGCAGGGGCGGACTGACAACTCATGGGGCCCCCGGGCAATAGGGGATCATGGGGCCCCTGTGTCCTTGCCTAAACTCAAAAAAGCCTATGAAAAAGCTACCAGGGGCATCTCATGGGACCCCCTACTGATCCCGGGCCCTCGGGCAGTGCCTGAGTTTCCAAATGGTCAGTCCGCCCCCTGGGTAGGTGTATTGTAACACTGAGAGACAAAATAGCAACAAAAAATTCAAATGAAATGCATGTCTAACAAAGGATGCACTGATTTGCATGTTCATGAGGGAAATAAGTATTTGATCTCCTTCACAAAACATGACTTAGTACTTGGTGGCAAATCCCTTGTTGGCAATCACAGAAGTCAGATGTTTCCTGTAGTTGGCCACCAGGTTTGCACACATCTCAGGAGGGATTTTGGCCCACTGCTCTTGGCAGATCCTCTCCAAGTCATTAAGGTTTGGTGGCTGATGTTTGGCAACTCAAACTTTCAGCTCCCTCCACAGATTTTCAATCGGATTAAGGTCTGGAGACTGCTAGGCCACTCCAGGACCTTAATGTGCTTCTTCTTGAGCCACTCCTTTGTTGCCTTGGCTGTGTGTTTTGGGTCATTGTCATGCTGGAACACCCATCCACGACCCATTTTCAATTCCCTGGCTGAGGGAGGATGGTTTTCACCCATGATTTGATGGCACATTGCCCTGTCCATCGTCTCTTTGATGTGGTGCAGTTGTCCTATCCCCTTAGCAGAAAAACACCCCCAAAGCAGAATGTTTTCCAGCACCATGTTTGACAGTTAGGATGGTGTTCTTGGGGTCATAAGCAGCATTCCTCCTCCTCCTCCAAACACGGCGAGTTGAGTTGATGCTAAAGAGCTCAATTTTGGTCTTATCTGACCACAACACTTTCAACCAGTCCTCCTCTGCATCATTCAGATGTTCAGTGGCAAACTTCAGATGGGCCTGGACATGTGCTTTCTTGAGCAGAGGGTCCTTGCGGGCACTGCAGGATTTCAATCCTTGTCGGCGTAGCGTGTTACCAGGGGCGGACTGACCATTTAGGCTCTCGGGCACTGCCCGAGGGCCTGGGGTCAGTAGGGGGCCCCATGAGATGCCCCGAGTACCTTTCAGAGGCTTTTTTGGGTGTGGTTTGAGTGTGGGCAAGGACACAGGAGCCCCATGATTTCCTATTGCCCTGGGGCCCCATGAGTTGTCAGTCCGCCCTTGCATGTTACCAATTGTTTTCTTGGTGACTGTGGTCCCAGCTGCCTGGAGATCATTGACAAGATCCTCACGTGTAGTTCTGGGATGATTCCTCACTATTCTCATGATCATTGACACTCCACGAGATCTTCCATGGTGCACCAGACCTAGGGAGACTGACAGTTGTTTTGTGTTTCTTCCATTTGCGAATGATTGCACCAACTGTTGTCACCTTCTCACCAAGCTGCTTGGCGATAGTTTTTGTAGCCCAGTCCAGCCTTGTGTAGGTCTACAATCTTGTCCCTGACATCCTTGGATAACTCTTTGGTCTTTGCCATGGTGGAGAGTTTGGAATCTGATTGTTTGATTGCTCCTGTTGACAGGTGTCTTTTATAGAGGTAACAAAATGAGATTAGCAGCACTCCCTTTAAGAGACTGCTTCTAATCTCAGCTTTTTACCTGTATGAAATCACATGGTAGCCAGAAATCCTGCTAATGATAGGGGATCAAATACTTATTTCCCTAATGAACATGTAAATCAGAGCATAATTTGTTAGACATGCATTTCTTTTGATTTTTTTGTTGCTATTCTGTCTCTCAGTGTTACAATACACCTACTATTCGATTTTTAGACTGATCAATTCTTTGTGAGTGGGCAAACATTCAAAATCAGCAGGGGATCAAATACTTATTTCCTTTATTGTATTTTTCAGTTCTGTGTTTAAAACGAAAGATATTGTACAATAACTATGCATTCCCATTAAGCTATAACATTACAATAACATATAGAATGGCCTTCAAATGAGCTTTCTGAGAGCAGTTTCATTCATGTGTAGTGTGCGGTTCCCCCACTTTTTCATGGCTTCGCTTACCTTGTTCTAAAGCAAAGCTTGAGGACTGCTGTGCTTTGTATTAGTATGGGTCTGTAATTCATATAAACAGTTTGTAATACACCATCATAGCTATATACGGTATGTACTATTCTCAGCCCAGCTCCTGCGTATTTTGCATAGAAAGGAGATAGCAATCTGCTCTAAATTCCAGTGCATCTGGAAACGCATGCTGCACAGATTACTTTTTATGTTAATGCTCTGTGCTATTTAAAAGGCAGCCTACATCTATAGAAAATAATGTTTTTATCGCAGGCGGATTACCATGTAACCCCTGCTGTCTGTGTGAGAATTTCTTTTTATGAAGTAAAAGTAATTTCGCTGGATCGTTATCATGATTATGTACTAACAAACCTATCTCTCTGTATTCTGTAAAGTAACATGGGTTTTTATATACTGTAGGTAATTTTTTTATATAAGATCCTAATTCACCTGTTCAGAAATTTGCTCCTAATCCATTTGTGTTCAGTAATCACCTTGTATCATCACTTTGGACTATTGTCTTGATATAGAAAAAGAGTCTACTTTATATTCACTTTTAGCTGGGTACCAGATCTCTGTTGTTCCCAATAAATACTGATATTTTGATTATCTTGATTATCGAAAATAGTGGACTATAAATCAAAAATCAGTTGGCTGGAATCAGAATGTCATATTGGTGTGTGAAAGTGTCTGATAAATAAACTGCAGAACTCTAGTCATTAACCCCCACCCACCCACCACCCATCTATTTTACTAGCCAAACCTGGC